GGGTAGCCTTAGTGTAGGAGCAGAAAACTGTTCCTGAGCAAAGGACCTTGCAGAAAATGCAGACGTGGGGGGGGGGGATTCGTGTGTAAGAAAGACTGCCCTGCAGAAGGAGCTGGGGGATGTGGTTTGTGCTCTCTTCAGGGACAATCTGCTCCTTGATAGCACACACTCACTCATCCAGATGGAACTCCTCAGCACCTAAACAGGGCCGCCTGGAAGCCCAATGATCTGGAGACAAAAGGAAGAACAGAACGGGGCAGGCAGGGCGGTATCCAGAAGAGCACAGGAGACCCTGGCGCATGAGCTGAAGGTGCCCGGGTTCCCTTACAGGCCACCTTGAGGCCTGCCCGGTAGGCATGCACTCACTGCTCTGAGTGGGTAGCCAAAAATATTCGTAACCTCCTGCATCTTTTCAGATCACCATGGATTAAAGTTAGAATTCAACAACAATCCTACCCCCAGAAAGCCTACAAGCTCATGGAAACTAAACAGTCAACTACTGAACCACACCTGGATCAAGGAAGAAATAAAGAAATAAAAGTCTTCCTGGAATTCAATGAAAATAAAGAAACAACCTACTCGAACTTATGGGATACTATGAAAGCAGTCCTAAGAGGAAAGTTCATAGCACTAAAGTGCCCACTTAAAGAAAATAGAGAAAGCTCACATTGGACACTTAACAGCCCACCTGAAAGCTCTAGAAAAAAAAGAAGCAAACTCACCTAGGAGGAGTAGAAGACTGGAAATAATCAAACTGAGGGCGGAAATCAACAAAATAGAAACACAGAAAACAATCCAAAGAATCAATGAAACAAAAAGCTGGTTCCTGGAGAAAATCAACAAGATTGATAAACCCCTATCCAAACTAATCAAATGACAGAGAGAGAACACGCAAATTAACAAGATCGGAAATGAAAAGCGGGACATAACCACAGACACAGAGGAAATTCAGAGAATCATTAGATCTTACTACAAAAGCCTATATGCCACAAAACTGGAAAATGTAAAGGAAATGGACACTTTTTTAGATAAATACCATATACCAAAGTTAAACCAGGACCAGGTGAACAACCTAAATAGACCTGTTAGTCGCGAAGAATTAGAAGCTGTTATCAAAAACCTCCCTACCAAAAAAAGCCCAGGACCAGATGGCTTCAATGCAGAATTCTTCCAGAACTTCCAAGAAGAACTAATACCTATACTCCTTAATGTATTCCACAATATAGAAACAGAAGTGGCATTGCCAAATTCCTTTTATGAAGCTACAGTTACCCTGATACCAAAACCGCACAAAGACTCAACCAAGAAAGAAAATTATAGACCAATCTCAGTCATGAACATTGATGCAAAAATCCTCAACAAAATACTGGCAAACCGTATCCAAGAACACATTAGAAAAATTATCCATTATGATCAAGTAGGCTTCATCCTATGGATGCAGGGCTGGTTCAACATACGAAAATCTATCAATGTAATCCAGCATATAAATAAACTGAAAGAAAAAACCATATGATCATTTCATTAGATGCTGAAAAAGCTTTTGACAAAATTCAACATCCCTCTATGATAAAAGTATTGGAGAGATTAGGGATACAAGGGTCATACCTAAATATAATAAAAGCTATGTACAGCAAGCCGACAGCTATGATCAAATTAAATGGAGAGAAACTTAAAGCCATCCCACTAAACTCAGGAACACGACAAGGCTGTCCACTCTTGCCATACCTCTTCAATATAGTGCTTGAAGTTCTAGCAATAGCAATAAGACAACATAAGGGGATCAAGGGGATTCAAATTGGAAAGGAAGAAGTGAAACTTTCGTTATTTCCAGATGATATGATAGTGTACATAAGCAACCCCCAAAACTCCACTGAAGAACTTTTACAGCTGATAAACACCTTTAGTAATGTGGCAGGATACAAGATCAATTCCAAAAAATCAGTCGCCCTCTTATACACAAAGCATATGGAAGCAGAGAGGGAAATCAGAGAAGCTTCACCTTTCACAATAGCCACAAACAGCATAAAATATCTTGGGGTAACTCTAACCAAGGAAGTGGAAGATCTATTTGACAAGAACTTTAAGGCATTGAAGAAAGAAAATGAGGAGTATACCAGAAAATGGAAGGACCTCCCTTGCTCTTGGATTGGGAGGATCAACATAGTAAAAATGGCAATTCTACTGAAAGACCCCAGTGGTGGGCAGTCTTTCAGGCTAAGGAGACCTTCCCAAGGAACAGCGAGATCACTCTTCGGATGCAAACAGCAAGAGGCTTTATTCAGTACACAGGTACCTGGGGCGACTTAGTCTCTCGAAAGACAAAGCGCGCCTGCAGACTGGGGGAAGGTCTTTTTATAGGAAAGAGGGCAGCAGAAGCAGATTACAGAAGCAAATGCATTGTTAGTGGTCAGTTGGAATGGGGCAAGGGGCACAGGTGGTTTTTCCTTTCCCAGCACAGATGTATGGGAACAGATATCCTGTTTCCCTTTTGTTCTTTCTTTCCTTTTACAGCACAGATGTATGGGAACAGATATCCTGCTTTACAGCCAGGGACCCTGACCTCACTCTGCACTTACATTTGTTCGTCAAAAGCCTTGTGAAATGACGTTACAGCAGCTAAGCTGGGATCTTTCATAGGGGGAATTGTTTCTTTTGTGAATTGCTGATATTCTAAGTTGGGCACATGTGCTGACTATAGGCATCCTGTTTCCCTAAGCAAACGGGATGTTCTCATGAGAGCCGGCTAGCTGCAGGTCCTGAGAGGGTCCTGAGGGTCTTAAGCGAACAGGATGTTCTCATGGGAGCAGGCCAGCTGCGGGTTCTGGGGGGGAGGTGTCCAGAGGGTCTTTCATTTTTCCTGTTTCTAGTTTGGCTCCTTATCGCTTGGGGCCAGATGGCTGACCGGCTGACCGCAGATATCTTGCCTGGCTTCTCCGTCCTTGTTCTCAAGTCGAACTTCCCTGCTCTAATGTTATTTGTGTTGCTCCAAAGTTTAAGCCTGGCATTGCTGCTGCTTAGCTGTTTGTCTATACTGTGGGGGTCTTTCATCCCCCCCTTTTTCTATCAACTGAATAAAACCCTTTATTCATTTAGCTGTGGTATCCATGTCTTCGGGATCAAACTGTCTAAGCTGATGATACTGTTGTGTCAGGACCAGAGCCTGGATGACAGACAGCCTGTCCTTCATGAATTGGACCAAGCGATTTAGGATACAAGGCCCAAAAAGCAAGATTAAAAGTATAACGATTAGGGGGCCCATGATGGAGGAAACCAAGGTGGTAAACCAGGGAGACCTGTTGAACCAGCCTTCAAACCATCCCTGCTCTGACTGGAACAACTGCTGTCTCTGCTTAAGTCTTTCCCTCAGTTTTGCCATATTGTCTCTGACTAGGCCAGTATGGTCTGCATAAAAACAACATTCCTCTTTCAGGGCAGCGCATAAGCCTCCTTCTTGCAGGAACAATATATCAAGCCCCCTGCAGTTCTGCAGCACCACTTCTGACAGAGAGGTTAGGGATTTCTCAAGGGCTCTGACTGATTCTTCTAAGGCCTTGATGTCCGTATGCATTGCCGCTTGAAGCTGTCTGTATTGGCTGGTAGCTACAAGGGCAGAAGCACCAGTTCCTACCCCTGCTGCTATACCTCCTGCAGTTAGTCCTCCTAACAGCAGGGCTAAAGTAAGGGATACTGGTTCTCGTTTGAATCGAGGTCTCCCTTCAAAATGACTGTAAATATATTCAGGATCATGATATGTAACTTTAGGCCATAATTCAACTAAAACACAGTAATCAGAGGTCAGGTTAAGTACAGTTGTTGATAGACAAGGGGTGATCCCAGTGCTACAAGCCCAGTAGGTACCGCTTGGTGCGGTTAAATAATAACCGGATGGGACGGGCTGTCGAGTATTGCATAAAGCTTGATGAGAGCTTGGGACTGTTCCCATGCAGAGTCCTTTTCCTGATACCTCCGACAGGGTTAGTTTGTGCTGGGGAAGACCGATGCACTGTGTGGGTGGCGAGTTATATACGACATAGGTAGGGGGGTCTGGAAATCAAGCATAGCCAACATTCCTGGGTCTTATTGGGATCTGTCACATTTAAGGCTAGATATGTCCCCTGGACTGAATCAAGTAACCTGTCCCCGGTCCCGGGTTGGTAGGGAGTCGGGGAGGCTGTGAGTGGGGTAGAAGCAGTTGATGGGGTGGCTGGTACATTGAGGGGAGCTTCTGGGAGCGCTGCCTGGCCGGGCTGTGATGGGGATCTTTGGTCAGAAATAACTAGATTAGGACCAACTGCTGGCGGGCCGTTTCCACTTTTAGTTTTATAGTGAAGATGGCACCTAGGTCCTTCTTAGTCATTCTGTTTGGGAAGTACCATCGGAGGCCCCAAGTCCTCCCTGTCATCCAGTTAGACTGCCCTGATGCTCGACCTCGGGGGTGGGGGGGGTGAAGGTGATGTTTAAGGGCAGGCAGGTGGGGTTGCCTTTACATTTTCCAGTATTCTTTGCGGAACACTCCCTAGGGGAGGTGTAGTTCTTATGAACAGTGATCCAGTCCCATGAGGAGCTAGGCTTCCAAAACGCATCCCCGGTTGTTTCACATCCCCAGGCATTACAGAATAAGCTTTCCCATCCTCCACAGCGTCGGACCTGGTCTCGCTCCCGCCCATCCCGGGGACAGACATAGAAATCTAATTGCCCCAGGAAGCATCTTCCTTCAGGGCTTCCGCAGCCGAATTTTCCCCCAGGAGAAAAGCGGCTGCCTGCCCGGTCCTTTAACTGTGTAGGTAGCAAATCAGGAATATCCCATATCTCTGATCCTGCTGCAAGCTGGCAGAAATCCGGGGTAAGTGGGGGCCACCAGGTGTCTATCGCATGGTTTGCCTGAATTTCCCAGACAACTTCTCCGACCGAGGACAATACCTGCCATTTTAGGGAGCGTACCAGGTGAGGGCTGTCTCCCTGGACTATCATCCCTAGTCCCAACAAGATCCATAAACCAGTCAATCGGGCCCCCGGGTAAGTCTTATCTTTAGAGGGTTTTGAGAGCGCTGGACCCTCCATAGTGGTTCTGCTGTATCTCCTTCCGTACGAGCTGCTTTTACGTGGGAGGCGTGGACCCAGGCCGCGATGCCATCAACTTTCAGTGCCGTTGGAGTGGTTAGCAGCACGGTGTAGGGTCCTTTCCAGCGGGGTTCCAGATTCTTAGTCTGATGTCTGCGGACCCAAACTGTATCGCCAATCTGGTAGCTGTGAGGTACCGCTGGTCTGTCTAATTGTTCCTTATAGGCTGCAGCAAGTGGCTTCCAGACCTCTCTCTGCACGATCTGGAGTGCCTGTAAATGAGCTTCCAGAGAGGGGCTATTAGCAAAGTCTGAAATGTTGGAGTCAAAGAAATTAATGAAGGGCGGGGGCGCCCCATATAGTATTTCAAAAGGTGTGAGCCCGTGGGGTCCTGGTGTATTGCGAGCTCTGTAGAGGGCTAGGGGTAGTAGGAGCACCCAGTCTCTAGTGCCAGTTGCAAGCGTTAATTTGGTCAAAGTCTCCTTAATAGTTCTATTCATTCTTTCTACCTGTCCTGAACTCTGGGGTCTGTATGCACAATGTAATTTCCAATCAATCCCCAATAGCTTGGCCACCAACTGACTTACCTGGGAGACGAAGGCAGGTCCATTATCAGTGCCCAGCACTTGGGGCATGCCATACCTGGGGAAGATTTCTTCCAGCAGCTTTTTGGTCACAATTTTTGCGGTCTCATGCTTGGTCGGGAAGGCTTCCACCCATCCCGAAAAGGTGTCCACAAATACCAATAAGTACCGGTATCCATACATGCCTGGTTTTATTTCAGTAAAGTCAATTTCCCATTGTACTCCTGGTCGATGTCCGCGGATTCGCACCCCCTGTCCCACCTTGGTTTTTCCTGCATTTACCTGTGCACATGCTCTACATTTGTCCATAACTTTTTGGAGGATGCTGTCTCGCCCCAGTAAATAGCAAAAAGTTTCCTGCCGGTCTAACAAAGTTTTCATCTTTCGGGGGCTTAGATGGGTCAATTTATGTAAGTAATCAAGCATCTTATAAGTGTATGCCATCGGCATCACTGTTTTTCCCTTCCATGTCCATTCGCCCGTTTTCTGGTCCTGCTCCGCTCCCATGTCTGCCAGGAGCTTTAGATCCTCCTCATCATATTTGAGGGGGTCTCTCTTATCTTGGAGCATGGGCAGTATGGCTAACGGAGCCTGCAGGGCCACCTGTTTGGCGGCTTCATCAGCCAGCCGGTTTCCTCGAGCCTCAGGGCTGTCTCCTTTCTGGTGTCCTGGGCAATGTATAATGCTCAGTTTCCGAGGCAGAAATAAAGCTTTTAACAAGGCTAAGATCTCTGTTTTATTTTTAATTTCCTTTCCTTCTGAAGTCAATAGCCCTCTTCTTCTGTATATTTCCCCATGAACATGAGCAGTGGCAAAAGCATATCGGCTGTCAGTATAGACATTGAGCTTCTTACCTTCTGCCATCCTCAAAGCTTGTGTCAAGGCGACAAGCTCTGCTCGCTGCGCAGAAGTCCCCGCAGGCAGAGGCTGTGCCCAGATCACCTCGGTCTCCGTGGTTACCGCTGCACCCGCCTTTCGCTCACCTTCCCGCAGAAAGCTGCTGCCGTCAGTGTACCAGGTGACATCCACATCCCGGAGGGGTTGATCCGTCAGGTCCGGTCTGGTCCCGTGCATTTCCGCAAGGATCTCGAGACAGTCGTGTTGGTCCGTCTCCCCCTCCTCTGGGAGTGGTAGCAGGGTTGCAGGACTGAGCGCCACCACTGGTCCGAAATGGATTCGGTCCGAGTCCAGGAGCATGGCCTGATAATGGGTCATGCGGGCATTGGAGAGCCAGCGATCTGGGGGTTGTCTGATTAAAGTCTCAATTGCGTGTGGGGCCAGGATGGTCAAAGGTTGGCCCATAGTCAGTTTGCCAGCGTCCTTGGTGAGGACTGCCACTGCTGCTACCATTCTGAGGCATGGGGGCCATCCTGTGGCCACGGGGTCCAATTTCTTGGATAGGTAGGCTATTGGCCGCCGCCAGGGCCCCAGCCTCTGGGTCAAGACCCCTTTTGCATATCCTTGCTTCTCGTCGACAAACAAATCAAAAGGCTTAGTCAGGTCAGGGAGGCCTAAGGCTGGGGCTGTGAGCAGAGCCCGTTTGATTTTCTGAAAAGCCTCGTCCTGATCCGATCCCCATGAGTACATCACCCCCTGCTTAGTCAGTGGGTACAAAGGGGCTGCCAGTTCCGCGAATCCGGGGATCCAGAGCCGGCAGAATCCCGCTGTCCCTAGAAACTCTCTCAGCTGGCGGGGTGTCCGGGGTGTAGGGATTTTTATAACTGTGTCTTTCCTGGCCTCCGTTAGCCACCTCTGTCCTTCTCTGATTTGGTACCCTAGGTAGGTGACCTGCCGTTGGCATATTTGGGCCTTTTTGGCAGAAGCTCGGTACCCTAGATCCCCCAAGGCTTGTAGTAATGCCTCAGTTCCTTTTATACAGTCCTGAGCCGAAGTAGCAGCTAACAAGAGATCATCAACATATTGTAACAGTATCAGGCCAGGATGCCTCACCCTGAAATCCGCTAAGTCTCGGTGTAGGGCCTCATCAAACAGGGTGGGGCTATTTTTGAAACCCTGAGGCAACCTGGTCCAGGTCAGCTGTCCTGAAATCCCCAGTTTAGGATCCTTCCATTCAAAGGCAAATATGGGCTGACTTCTGGGGTGCAGTCTCAGGCAGAAGAATGCATCCTTGAGGTCCAGGACGGTATACCAAGTATACGAGGGTGATAGTCCACTTAACAGATTGTAGGGGTTAGGAACTGTCGGGTGTATGTCTTCCACCTGTTTATTGACCTCTCTTAGATCCTGCACAGCTCTATAGTCCCCAGTCCCTGGCTTTTTCACGGGCAGCAAGGGGGTATTCCAAGGGGACCGGCAGGGGACTAATAGTCCCTGGTCAAGAAGCCTTTTGATGTGAGGCCTTATTCCTTCCCTTGCCTCATGAGACATGGGATACTGTTTAATCGAGACAGGAGTAGCAGTTGTCTTGAGGCTTACCACTAGAGGGGGCTGCTGTCTGGCCAGCCCCATTCCCCGTTTCTGCCCATGCCTGGGGAAAGTGATCCAGCCAATAAGCCTCAGTGGGGGCCGCAGTTGTACTGTCTTTTTCATGCAGCCTATATTCATCTTCTAGGCTGAGAGTCAGCACATGTAAGGGTTGTCCCTGAGGGCCAACTACCTGTGCTCCGGTTTCCTTGAAGTAAATTTGGGCTTTTAATTTTGTGAGCAAGTCCCTTCCTAGGAGCGGATATGGACAGTCAGGCATGTGGAGGAAAGAATGAGTCACCTTACCGGTTGCTAGGTGAAGCTTGCGATCTGTGGTCCATCGGTATCGTTTTCCACCAGTGGCCCCTTGGACCCAGGCAGACTTGTCACTCAGGGGTCCAGGGTCCCTGGTTAGCACCGAATGTTGAGCTCCGGTATCAACTAGGAAGGTGACAGGTTGCCCCCCAACATCTAAGGTTATCCTGGGCTCAGGGGGAGGCTCCTGGCCCTGATCTCCCTAGTCGTCCAGAGCTAGGAGGGAGGTCTGAGAAGGTCTTGGTCTCCTGGGTCCCCTCGGGTTCTTGGGACAATCCCTTGCCCAATGTCCCTTTTCTTTACAGTAGGTGCATTGGTCCTTGTCAAGGGGTGGCCTTCTTTTGTCTCCCTCCTGTCTATCCTGTCTTTGTCCTGACACTACGGTGGCCAAAAGTTTACTCATTTCCTTATGTCTCTTGCGGTCCCTCTCTTTTTCCCTTTCCTCGGCTTCTTTTCTGAAGCGGTCCTCTCGTTCCTCTGCTTCTCTCCTGAGGCGGTCCTCCCTCTCTTCCTGAGTCTCCCTCTTATTGAAAATCTTTTCTGCTTCCTTTAGCAGATCCCTGAGTGAGCTTTCCCTGAGGTTCTCTAGACGCTCCAGCTTGCGTCTGATATCTGGAGCTGACTGCCAAATAAAAGACATGGAGATATTGGTCTCCTGTCCGGGGTCGTCAGGGTCATAGGGAGTATATCTGCGGTAAGCCTCTTTGAGCCTCTCAAGGAACGCAGAGGGAGTTTCCTCTGACCCCTGTATAACCTGCTTTACCTGAGCCAAATTCGTTGGGCGTCGAGCCGCCCTGTGGAGACCCGCTATGAGCAACTGGCGATAGAGGGCTAGGTGATTCCTACCTTCCACCGTGGTGAAATCCCAAGAGGGGCGTTCAAGGGGAAAGGCAGAATCTATTTCATTAGGCAATTGGGTGGAGCGGCCATCAGGTCCCCGGACTTCCTTCCGGGCTTCCAGGAGGACCCTCTGCCGTTCCTCCGAAGTCAGCAGGGCCTACAGCAGCTGTTGGCAGTCGTCCCATGTAGGCTGATGGGTAATAAAAGTAGATTCAATCAGAGCAGTCAACCTAGAGGGGTCCTCAGAAAAAGGAGGGTTATTATTTTTCCAGTTGTAGAGGTCTGAGGAGGAGAATGGCCAGTACTGCAGTTGGCCGTTCATTCCCGTGCGAAGAGGGAATGCCTGTGAGGATGTTGTATCCGCTGCATGCAGCTGGTCCCTTCGTCCCCTCAGGCGTGTGGCCATCGGAGAAGGACCAGCAGAGGCCGGCGCTGCTTGTTCTTCTTTTCTTTCAGTTGAGTCAGCCTCATTCGGAGGCCGTGGAGCTGGCTCCTGATATGGGGGAGGGCCCTCCGTGAGGAGGTCCATCAGTAGGTCATCATCTGGGGGCAAGACTTTTGGAGGAGGGGGCTTGGGCACCGGGGATTTGGTGAGGGTTGGGTACAGGGAGGAGTGGGGCGGAGGTCCCGTTGGGGTGGGAAGGAGTAGAGGGGGTAAAGTAGGTGCAGAGGGGGTAAGGATAGGGGGTTTCGGGGTGACGAAAGGCTTGACCCAGGGCGGTGGCCATCGCCTCCCAGACCACGATATACGCGACCTGGTCTGGATGCCCGTGATGGCCAGGATCCATCACCTTAGCCTTTACCTGTAAGATAACATTGATGTCAAAAGTACCACCCCTTGGCCAGCCCACATTGAACGTGGGCCATTCCGAGGAACAGACAGTTACCCAGCGTCTCTTCCGGACGTCCACTGACTGGTTATTTGCAATGTCTTGGACGTCACGCCAGTGCTGTAAAGTCAGGCTTAGAGGGTTGGTTACAGATTGGCCCATTCTCTCAACCGAGGTGACAGTAACGATTAGACAAACAAACAAAATACAACTTAGACAGACACAGAAACGCGCAGCGCGGTTTCGGCGTAAAACCGAAAGCAAGAGTTCAGATGGAGACTCTGAGGACCCGGGCTCCTCGTCTCCCAAAAGAGTCACGTATCCCTCAGAGAGTGGGGAAGCCCCCAACAGTCCCAGTTCCGCGCAACTCATAGACTACAAATGGGCCATGAGTCGGGCCCCAAACACCACTGGGACGTCTCCCAGGGCTGCGGTCAGGAGTACGAGCCCGTCAGCTCCTCCACGGATCCGCCAAATACAAATCTGGTTAGCTAGCCAGTACAGTCGCAGGCGCAGACATAAAAGACAGAAGACAGAAGACAATTGTGCTGGCCAGCTTACCTCCCGGTGGTGAGTCGGTGGTCCCTGGGCAGGGGTCTCCAGATCTCGGTGGGACCTCCAAATGAAAGACCCCAGTGGTGGGCAGTCTTTCAGGCTAAGGAGACCCTCCCAAGGAACAGCGAGATCACTCTTCGGATGCAAACAGCAAGAGGCTTTATTCAGTACACAGGTACCTGGGGCGACTTAGTCTCTCGAAAGACAAAGTGCCCCTGCAGACTGGGGGAAGGTCTTTTTATAGGAAAGAGGGCAGCAGAAGCAGATTACAGAAGCAAATGCATTGTTAGTGGTCAGTTGGAATGGGGCAAGGGGCACAGGTGGTTTTTCCTTTCCCAGCACAGATGTATGGGAACAGATATCCTGTTTCCCTTTTGTTCTTTCTTTCCTTTTACAGCACAGATGTATGGGAACAGATATCCTGCTTTACAGCCAGGGACCCTGACCTCACTCTGCACTTACATTTGTTCGTCAAAAGCCTTGTGAAATGACGTTACAGCAGCTAAGCTGGGATCTTTCATAGGGGGAATTGTTTCTTTTGTGAATTGCTGATATTCTAAGTTGGGCACATGTGCTGACTATAGGCATCCTGTTTCCCTAAGCAAACGGGATGTTCTCATGAGAGCCGGCTAGCTGCAGGTCCTGAGAGGGTCCTGAGGGTCTTAAGCGAACAGGATGTTCTCATGGGAGCAGGCCAGCTGCGGGTTCTGGGGGGGAGGTGTCCAGAGGGTCTTTCATTTTTCCTGTTTCTAGTTTGGCTCCTTATCGCTTGGGGCCAGATGGCTGACCGGCTGACCGCAGATATCTTGCCTGGCTTCTCCGTCCTTGTTCTCAAGTCGAACTTCCCTGCTCTAATGTTATTTGTGTTGCTCCAAAGTTTAAGCCTGGCATTGCTGCTGCTTAGCTGTTTGTCTATACTGTGGGGGTCTTTCACTACCAAAGGCAATTTATAGATTCAATGCAATCCCCATCAAGGTCCCTTCAAAATTCTTCACAGATCTGGAGAGGACAATAATCAACTTTATATGGAAAAACAAAAAACCCAGGATAGCCAAAACAATCCTATACAATAAAGGATTGTCTGGAGGCATTACCATCCCTGACTTCAAACTCTATTACAGAGCTACAGTGATGAAACCAGTGTGGTACTGGCATAAAAACAGAGAAGTCGACCAATGGAATTGTATAGAAGACCCGAATTTTGACCCACAAACCTATGAACACCTCATTTTTGATAAAGGAGCCAAAAGTATACAACGGAAGAAAGAAAGCATCTTCAACAAATGGTGCTGGCACAACTGGATGTCAACCTGTAGAAGAATGAAAATAGACCCATATCTATCATCGTGCACAAAACTCAAGTCCAAATGGATTAACGACCTCAATATCAGCCCGAACACACTGAAAATGATAGAAGAGAAAGTGGGAAATACCCTACAACACATGGACACAGGAGATCGCTTCCTATGTGTAACCCCAACAGCACAGACTTTAAGGGCAACATTGAATAAATGGCACCTACTAAAACTGAGAAGATTCTGTAAAACAAAGGACACTGTCACCAAGACACAAAGGCAACCTATTGACTGGGAGAAGATCTTCACCAACCCCGCAACAGACAAAGGTCTGATCTCCATAATATATAGAGAACTCAGGAAACTAGACTTTAAAATGCTAATTAACCCAATTAAAAAAATGGGGCACTGAACTGAATAAAGAATTCTCAGCAGAGGAAGTTCAAATGGTCAAAAGACAGTTAAGGTCATGCTCAACCTCCTTAGCGATCAGGGAAATGCAAATCAAAACAACTTTGAGATATCATCTTACACCTGTCAGAATGGCTAAAATAAAAAACTCCAATGATAGCCTTGCTGGAGAGGCTGTGGAGGAAGGGGTACACTCATCCATTGCTGTTGGGAATGCAATCTTGTACAACCACTTTGGAAATCGGTGTTTCGATATCTCAGGAAATTCGGGATCAACCTACCCCTGGACCCAGCAATACCACTCCTGGGAATATACCCAAGAGATGCCCTATCATATGACAAGAGCATTTGTTCAACTATGTTCATAGCAGTATTATTTGCAATAGCCAGAACCTGGAAACAACCCAGATGCCCTTCAATGGAAGAATGGATGAAGAAAGTGTGGAATATCTACACATTAGAGTACTACGCTGCGGTAAAAAACAATGACTTCTCAAATGTTGCATGCAAATGGATGGAAATAGAAAACACTATCCTGAGTGAGGTAACCCAGACCCAAAAAGATGAATATGGGATGTACTCACTCATACTTGTTTTCTACCCATAAACAAGGGTCACGGAGTCTACAATTGGTGATCCCAAAGAAGCTAAGTAAGAAGGTGAACCAAAGAAAAAACATATAGTTGTCCTCTTGGCTATGGGAAGTAGACAAAATTGCTGGGGAGAAAATTGAGACCTTGGGGGTGGGGTGGGATGGGGGTAAGGGGAGATAGGGAGAGAAAAGGGAGAAGGGGAGAATGGGGGGAACTTGGGGAAAAAGGAGGATTGTGATAAAGGAAGGTTAGATAGGTGAGCACGGAAGCACAATTCTTAGTTAAAGGAGCCACGTTAGAGTTGGCAAGAGACTTGAACCTAGAGTGGCTCCCAGATGCCCAAGCCGAGGTCCCCAGTTAGTTCCTTGGGCAGCTGAGGATAGGGAACCTGAAATGACCCTATCCTATAGCAATAATGACGAATATCTTGCGTATCATCATAGAACCTTCATCTGGTGATGGATGGAGATAGAGACAGAGACCCACACTGGAGCACTGGACTGAGCTCCCAAGGTCCCAATGAGGAGCAGAAGGAGGGAGAACATGAGCAAAGAAGTCGGGACCACGAGGGGTGCACCCACCCACTGAGACAGTGGAGCTGATCTATTGGGAGCTCACCAAGGCCAGCTGGACAGTGAGTGAAAAAGCATGGGATAAAACTGGACTCTCTGAGCATGGCAAACAATGAGGGCTGATGAGAAGCCAAGGACAATGGCACGGGGTTTTGCACCTATGTAATGTGCTGGCTTTGTGGGAGCCTAGCCAGTTTGGATGTTCACCTTCGTAGGAATGGACGGAGAGGGGAGGACCTAGGACTTACCACAGGGCAGGGAACCCTGACTGCTCTTTGGACTGGAGAGGGAGGGGGAGAGGAGTGGGGGGAGGGGGAGAAGGGTGGGAGGAGGGGGAGAAGGGTGGGAGGAAGGGGAGGGAAGTGGGAGGCTGGGAGGAGGTGGAAACTTGTTTTTTTTCTCCTTTTCTCATTAAAAAAAATGGAAAAAAAACCAGTCACTTTGCCCATCCCCATATTAAAGAACAAAACTCTAATAAGCTGTTCAATGAGGCATTACAGGGTCACAACCAATCTTAAGGCCGAATAGCCGTAAAATTCCAGTTTTCTTTTAGAGAAAAACATAGTTCTGCCAGATGGAGAATATGACAGCAGGTGACATGTGTTTGAAATGTAAAACACTGTTGTGTGAAGGACTGGCCTGACCAATCAAAAATTTTATTTAGAACCTCAGGCAGGGAAGAGGTATAATCTTGGGAGACGTAGTATAATTTGGGACATAAGCCTTGTGAGTTTCAGGAAGGACCTGATGTATTGATAATAAAACTGAGCTCCTTCAGTAAAACTAGGAATATACTTTGGAGAGCTGGTAATGACCTGGTGTCAAGGCCTTTGTGGAGGATTTGCTTCAGATCTTTAGAAAACAGTTCTTCCCCCTATATGGAGCTATGGTTATCAGCTCAAGGCAACTATGCACTTAGTAAATATTTCGGAATACCCTGTGTACCTCTTGTGTAGAGTTGTTGGACTAGACTCCTCCTAAACTTGTCTCATTGTGTGATAGTTTCTACTGACTTCATATAATTCATACAATTCTTCCATTTTTTTTTCTTGGAAGTAGTATGCAAAATGGTAATATTTTCTTTCTTCCTTTCTTTCTTTCCTTCTTCTTCTTCTTCTTCTTCTTCTTCTTCTTCTTCTTCTTAATTTTCTTTTCCTTTTCCTCCTCCTCCTCCTCTTCTTCTTCTTCTTCTTCCTTCTTCTTCTTGTTTTTCTTCTTCTTCTTCTTCTTCTTCTTAATTTTCTTTTCCTTTTCCTCCTCCTCCTCCTCCTCC